AGTTAGAAGCGAAATGTGTCACTCGATATATCTGCAAAGGTCTCTTGATAAATAAATTGCTATAATTAGGATTGTATCCAATTCTATCGTTCACTTCGAAGCGGACTATGTCAATCGATCGTATCAGGACAGATCTCTTGATAAATGAATTTTTATAATCATAGTTCTATTCAAATACATTGCTTAGTTCGAGGTGAAATTAGTCACTCGATCACATCAGCAAAGATCTCTTGATAAATGAATTGTTATAACCAGAATTCCATTCAAGTATATTGCTTCGTTTGAAATAAAGTGTGTCAACGGATCACAACAACAAAGGTTTCTTGACAAATGAATTGTGATAACTAGGGTTGCATGCAGGTATATCGCTCATTGGATAGCGATGTATGTCACTTGATCACATCAGTCAAGATCTCTTGACAAATGAATCATTATTATAAGGGTTTCATTCAAATATATCGCTCACTTTGAAGCAAAATGTATCTTTCGATCATATCAGTACAGATTTCTTGAGAAATGAACTGATTTAAACATAAAGATTCTATTCAAATACGTTGCTTAGGTTAATTAATTCATTTGGATGAAAAGCACGTCCGCTGAAAACTTGCCAACTAAATAGTCACTACAATCGCTCCGTTCAAGTATTGGTTACATTACAGGTATATGGTACGGTTGAAATTACACTGAACAAAAAATGGAGCACATGAATGACATAAAGTAATAATCCGTCCAGGTATGTACTGATACATCTTAAAATTTGAATGGAGAATTTTTCGATGGATGACCTGAAGATATTTGGATATATTAAAACAAGTATTGATTCAACTACATGAATGACTGTAAAGAAAGCATACCAGTTGCTACTTCAAATAGCGGTGAAGTAATGCACACACAGTCAGGACAAAAATCGTATTCCAATATTGAAAATAATTCGACGTGATCATTCGATATTATTCGTTGGACAAAAGTAAACATTATATATGATAGTGTTTTATTTGGAGTGATTGTCGTTGTTGTCTGGCTAGTACCTAAATGAATATGATGAGTTTTACTTGAACTAAAAATCTCCTGTACTACACAGTATCATCTTAGTACATTGACAAATCGATTTCAACCCGCTTCTGAATTTTTATACGGAAAGCTCTTATCGTTTTCAACATGCAATGTTGACCAAGTTTAGAATTTGGCATTATACAGTTCGAATATATTGATCTATCAGCTTAAACGAATGGTGATATGTCCTAGTGTGAAACTCACTTGAAAATAGGGCAGGTGCAGCCTGAAGTCCATTGTCTCTCGTTTAGAATTATTCAGGTATGAGCTTGGAAGTAAGCGAAAGAAAAGGCATATTGTTCGTTTTAGTATTTTATTGTTGAACTTTCTTGTCTTTATCTATCACTCTTGGTTGAATCTGTTGTAATGTAAACTCATTTTTCCTCTTGCGCGACTGTCTCATTAGAAAGTTACATGAGCTACGTGATTGATGCAGCTCATCCAAGAGACAATAAGTCAAAACACGCGACCTCTCGGTAAACGTGCTTATTTTATTATGCACTTTGATTCTCTCTTTCATATTCTCTTTCTTTGCGATTCGTTGGAATAGTGAGTCTCCGATAGAATGCGAACATACGATTTTCAACTTTTCACGAAAGAAAATCATCGAAAGCATCCTCCTAGAATATTACAGAGTAGTTTCGACGTTTTCAAGAAACCATTTAAAGCTTTTCAGTAGAACACGGAATCCACCAAGTACAATAGAATAATGACTGTATGATGCTATCGATTAGGACAGGAATTCTAACACTAAATAAGTATGTCTTATGTTATTTATGACAAGACAGACTGAAATGCCCGAAGTGAAGTTATCATGTCTCATCATCCACGTGAAACGATTATTCAAATCATATTGGAGATGAACAAGAAGCACTGAAACCTTCAGTTGTATTTGTTAATACTCAGTGGTACAAAATCAGTGTAACCATTCAATCTTAAAAAGACTGTACGTAAAAATAATATTATATGAACAAGAGAAATCAGTTACAGAGATTAGAAGAGATAGAAGAGTTACACATGCCACAAAAGCAGGCGAAATGCAAGAGAGCTTGGTACCTAAGAACAGATGGTCGACATCTGGATACGAATCGTTTCTTTTTGACCGAACACTTTGCGCATTTATAGATCTGTTGCCCTACTATTTTTTGAACATGATTGGAAATGAGTGTTTAAAGCATATAGCGAGAAACTTAGGCTCATCCCTTTTTGACACATGATGGCAAACAGATAGGCAACATGCATTTTGAGACCCACGAATGGATATTCAAAAATAAAAATTCTTTTATTTATTAATTTGACATTTTCATTGGTCTCTGTCTCGGGTTTGCAGAGCGATGAATAATTTATTTCGTCCATCTGTCTGCCTGAAACACATTTTTTAACTACTACTCATATAAATATAGCTCATTGTTTTATTTTGATTTGCAAGACTGAAAATTCTCGCGTCAAGAGAGTTAATTCTAAAAAAAGTGTCGGTTTGTGTATGCGTGTCCGGGTCAGTTTTTAGTTCGTTTGTTAAATCATTATTTGCCTAGTCTTATGAGATTATTTGTATTTGCTATTTCGAAGGTTTGTTTTTATTAATTAAACTCTTCAACCTTTTCTAAGGACGATTTTTATTTAATGGATTCCATTAGTATCTGCGAAAAGTGATTCACCATCTCATGAAAAATGACTGACATGCTGATGAGTTGGTTCTTCAAGCATAAACAGTACAACAGATATCGAAGTCAGAAGAAAATGGACACGTTGCATGCTTTAGATTTTTTAGCTCTTTAGACGCAATGGCCGTTCAAATTTTCTGTTTTTTTGGATTTTCGAATCATAAATAAATACTTCAAAATAATTTCAAGTGAGAATATTTTCAGGTGATATTAATTTCGAAGTTTTTGCAATGCGAATACACTCTCTTGCTATTTCAAGAAGTCTTCAAACTCAAAGATCTTGATGGTTGCGTTTCTTCTTTAACATATGGTTTCATGAGCTTCTTTACCAGTGTGAGTATGATTCGTTTGTGGATTCATACTTGCACAAACCTTAATTGCTTTGATTATACCTTAATGAGTTTTAATTCCTGAGCACAAAGTGATGAATTAGATGAGCAGTTGTGTGGACCATGTAGAAGCATTCAAGGAAAGATAAGAAATTTATTAATCGAAAAAAATTAATGATCAAGAGTACTGCTTCTCTTTGTTCTCTACTGTAAGGACAAAGCATAATGTTGTTCTAGCCGATCAGGAATTAGTGGAAGTGCTCTTTTATATGGCAACAACAACGCCATGGTGAGTTCGTATTGAAGTAAAAAAAATTTTATATTAAATGATATTTGTCTTACACAATCACTTAAACTTAATTTTAAATGAATTAAGTATTGAGTAGAAAGAACTTTAATTTAATATTAATTATTACAGTTTTCATTCCACTTAACATTAAAAGAAATAAACGTTAACTAGGAAAATTTTAATTAAATATTGAATGTTAAGTAATGAGACTCAACTCAATTTTTTGATAGGTTAGATGATAGAAACTTGTTAGGATCATTCAACTACAGATTATTCGTCTATATTCTGTTATTGTATGACGACACAAATCTTATATAAAGAAAAGCAGCTTTCCATTTTGTTTCAAGAGAATTCATTCACAGTTTACTAGTCGTTCCTACCAACTCGTTCCGTCTAATCGAATGTTCGAAATTCTATCTGCCCCTTACTTATCCTAGAGTAAGATCACTTTGAGTTACTGCACACTAGTTGAAGATTTACCTACAGATCCAACACTTTTACTAAAGAATAGTGATAAATACATAGATTTGTCAACTTTGTTTATTTATATTTCCAATTAAAAGTTGCTTTATATATTAAAGACTCCTCTATTTCATTATTAGAAAATCTACATAATTGCCTAGTGCAAAAGGTATGTCCGTTCGACCAAGATACCTGTTCGAACTTTAAAAAACCAAAAATCACCGAAAATGAAAGAAAAAGATCAAAGCACTATCACCACTTCACTTTCTCTTGGCTGCACATGATTTCATCAGCTTTGTTTCCTTATATGACGTTTCTCTGTTTTTAGAAATAATTGAAGTGCGACTTTGACTTATCTTGGCAACCTTTGTATATACAAAGTTCAACAATTTTCAAATATTCAAACTCTTTTCATTAAATTGTTGCATGAAGCAATATATGTCTATGTGATCTATTACTTACTGGTAGTAGTTGTAGTTGTTGTTGTAGTTGTAGTAGTTGTTGTTGTAGTTGTAGTTGTTGTTGTTGTAGTTGTTGTTGTAGTTGTAGTTGTTGTTGTTGTTGTTGTACTGGTTGTTGTTTCGGTAGTGGTTGTTGTTGTACTTGTTGTTGTTTCGGTAGTAGTTGTTGTTGTACTTGTTGTTGTTTCGGTAGTGGTTGTTGTTGTAGTTGTGGTTGTAGTTGTGGTTGTAGTTGTTGTAGTTGTGGTTGTAGTTGTGGTTGTAGTTGTTGTAGTTGTGGTTGTAGTTGTGGTTGTAGTTGTGGTTGTAGTTGTTGTGGTTGTAGTTGTGGTTGTAGTTGTTGTAGTTTTGGTTGTAGTTGTGGTCGTAGTTGTTGTAGTCGTGGTTGTAGTTGTAGTTGTTGTAGTTTTGGTTGTAGTTGTGGTTGTGGTTGTTGTTGTTGTCGTTGTTGCGGCTGAAACCAATCAGATATCAGAACTTTAGGATTCTGCAGAACAATGCACTCGCATCTTAAATGGCGATCGCATCTTCAAGAAATAATCGTGAGCGTGAATGTGGGTGCGGGTGTGCAGTGTGCGTGTAGATGTGGGTGTGGTGTGTGTATGTAGGTGTGGGTGTGAGTGTAAGTGTGGGTGTGCCTGTGCCTGTGGGTGTGGGTGTGGGTGTAGTTGTTCTCTTTTCTCACGCCCACGCCCACACCTATATCCATACCCACATCCATACCTATACCCACACCCACCCTTTTCGTTTGCTGCACATGAAACTCCATAGTCGACCTCGATTTTGTCTTGATTTTGTGGAACTCAAACATATTTTTGGAAAAAATAGTGAATGTAAGTTGAAATCGAAGGTTTTCAGTTTCTACCTCTCCCTTCTAGGTACTAGCTACAGGCGCTGAGAGAAGGAACGCCAAAGATCCTCAGATACGTTTGCGTAGCGACGAAAGCAGTGATAACAACACTTAGATTGTTCAGGAACTATTCAGGGATGCACTAGTTTCAGTCGTGACTGGATGATTAGGTACCGGGTCGAATTGGGTGGATATCCAGTCCGACTGGAGTGACCGATCTGACTGGATACCAAGAGTGTATTTGAGAATTAGTATTTTATTCGAAAACACTAAATATAACATGGGTACCCATAATCCATCATACGCTATACAACGAAAGTAACCATTAGCCATCATGGGCTATATACCTGATGTGCACGCATCACTCCTTAAATGGTGTGTAGTGGCAGTCTACATCTGTTCTGATAGCGTACTTAGGGATGGTTCTCATATTTTTAACAGGTTATCTTGATGTAGTCGCGTTAGTTGTTGAAGAACATTTGTTGGATAGACACACTGTCTGTATGAGATCCATCTTCTGGTTTTTGCAGTAACTGGATAAGGCCTTTACGGATATCGTCATCAAGATTGGTGAAGGGCTATCGAATAGTGAGTCTTCTCTCTTTTTGTAGACCTTAGCTTACGGACTATGGGTGTTTCACGAGTAGCCCGCTCTTATTGTTTCAGGATAATGTGTCACTGTATTTTGTCTTAGTAAATATTAGCACTAATTCAATAGTTATATTTGTAAAAGGGATCGAGATGTGAAGCTCCCAGAACAACGATCAAAGGATGGAGAAAGGTATATATATATTTGTTGGTATATGAGCTGAGCATATAGAATCTTGCGATCTTTGAACGAAAGAATATAGAATATCTTGATTACGTCCATTGTAGAATAAACAGATTAGTTGAAGATGCTCACATTATATAAAAAACAAAAAATATAATGCGACTAAGATGACAGAATGATAACGGACATGGAAGGAGATCCCGATAATAGTGAATGTTGGTGGATGTCTTCGTGCATTTGTACATGAAGAGAACATTGGCGGCTACACTCATAGGCATATTCACGGTGCTTTTCGATTGCATGAAGTGAGAGGCGTTAGAGTAGCTTAAGAATATTTCGATCAAGATCATGGAATAGCTTTTAAAACTACATGAGTAACCGTCGATCACATGCCTTTTTCTTTCAAACGCAAAAATATTCCCAAGTTATGATACACTCATGAAAACTGTCGTGAATGTTACGAGCTATATCATACAATGATATTGTATTACTCGCTAAGTCAATTATTAAAAACAGGACACGTTTCCAGAAACCTCTCGGAAGCTCATCATGCTCTATTAACGCCACCATAAGAATCAATCATGTGCAAGATAGTGACCCTACGGATCATGAAGGTCAAAAAAATTATTGACAATTACAGCGATGTATACGCGCACCGCTTGAGCAGCAAAAGACATGATGCAATGAAGGCTCCGATCATTCTGCACGGTCACTGTTATTTCGCAACTGATGAATTTTCAATATCATGCGGGCATAGCGCCTTGAGAGTTATTTGGATTAGAGTCAGAATCACACTAACGAGTCAATGAGACCAATCATAGAAGTCATGCTAGCACTATGAAACCAAATTCATAACACAGGCCGACAAGATTTATCACGAGATCTCATCAAAAACATTGAAGAAGTGTGCGTACTACTCCTGAAAACGCCATCATTAGAAAGGGTGATTATCAACACGAAGCCCACCCAGAGATATGAGAACTACCACTGTACTAACCTAGAGAACAGTAATGGATACCAGCTACAAATAGTTCGTTCAGAATTTTGGATACCTCCATTACATTGGCCATAACGAGTTAGCGATACCATCGTTATGTAGCCTATGATGAGTTATGAGTAACCAGTTATATTTACTCTTTTCGAACAAAACTACTGATTATCAAATTCACTCTTAGTCAGTTACCTGCATATACCGTAGTGCTTTGTACCCAATATGACTGTACTGGTGCGTCTCTAAAACTATCTAGTATCTTCCCCACAACTTTCCATGAATCGAAGCTTGTTACTGTAGATTCTGACTATTGTGGATATTACCATTTTTTATTATTTAATACAGCGAAAGGTTTTTATTGTAAATGTCAATCATTAGGATAGTGGTATTATTGACTGGCTTGTATTTTATTACTCAGTATTTAATGCTAAATATTTAAGATCTTTTCTATTAAGCGCTCCGTATTTTTTGCTCTGTAAAAAATTAGTTTTAGTATAGTAAATAATTTAAAAACGTCAGTAGCTAATTTAAAAAGACTCACTATTTAATTTGTTCTTGTTCAATCTTTTATTTACCAATATCAGTAAAAATAGTTTAATACAATTAACTATAGTTCATCGTATGATCAAAGCTTTCGTAGGATGTGAGTATGGGTCGTCGTTTCGCCTACATCCTACACTCACACTTTAGCCCGGTACGGAGTCCTACTCACAAGCTTTTAACTAGGAGTGTACAGCTGATGCTCACGAGCGTCAGCGCTTTTCCTCTGTCTGAAATACCAGAGCGAAGTTACTCTTCAATTATGTTACCAAGTAACTAATGCCTATTTCAAAAAAGACAAAGTATGAGTATTATTTGAATAACTTTCGATAGAAATTAGCTAGAGAACTGCGGTTTTCATCGTTTAAAAGAGGAAATGAAACTGCACTGAATCGTATATACCAGATTTGCCTGATAAGTTTTCTCAGAGTCCCTAATCAATTTTTTTCAAAAGATTCAGGCTTTTGAATAAGTGTATAAGGTGGATCTTTCGATGAAAAATGAGACAAAAGTTTATTTTTTATGAAAAATTTGACAGTAATATGCAGTAAAATGTGTATAACTCATGATTGACTAAACTCTACAACATTGAACTAACACAATTTATAGATCTTCAGTCAATGATTTTAATGCATCCCTGAAAATTGAAGTAGTAAAACTGTTACATTAATCACTGTTTTATTTTTAACAAGCATCATAATAGACTCTGAGAAAATTTGTCAGAAAAACCTGATACACACGATTCAATGCAGTTTTATTCCGTCTTTTAAAGGGAGTAAACTACAGCTCTTTATTTAGTTTCTATCGAAATTTATTCAAAAAATACTCACACTTTCCTTTTTTTTAAGAATCGGTATTGGTAAGAGAAAGCTTATGAGTTTATCAAACGAAAGTTAATTTTCTAAAAATTACGATGTTTCTCGTAAAGCTTGACCGAAAACGATCGAGGTCAAGGAATCCAAATCTGTAATTGGTATCTTGAAATTCACCATCATGATTTCTCTTCATACAAAAAGGTTAGCTCTCTAAAATGCCTTCCATTATCGAGAAATGAGGAAGTTGCATTTCGAAAAATTGATTAGGAATTCAAATTTCCCAACTTCGTTACCTTTGGTCAAACTTTATAAGAATTCGTCATTTTTAGAAAGATCAGAGAAATTGCTTATGCTCATGAGCGTGAGTGTGAGTGTGAACTGTACATCCCTACTTGAAACACCATCATTTTATGTCACAGCTGTGGAAAAAAGCATGTATTCAATTTCTAGAGAGGGCAAAGTACTTACCATCACATTTGCGACCTGCGCAATTGCCGCTTATGCAATCCGAGTTTTGATCACAGTTCTTGCCATCAATACACCGCCCGCTATTTGGAGTGACACATATACCTCCACAGTCCTTGTCGGTCTCATCTTGATTTTTTTGACCGTCGGTGCATGTCCCGTCTGGAAATGAAAAAGATTTGTTAGTCGCATGCTTTATAAGAGGGTGAGTCAAGAAGTCTTCTGTTTTGAGTCGACAGTCCTTGCGATTTTGATGTAATAAATATTTATCTCGCGGTCTTTGTGATATCTCGATCCTGTCAGGTGATTCTTCGATTGAACTATAATGTTTTCATTTTGTAAAGCGAAATGATTTTAATATCAGAAGGTTTCTCAGAGTATTTTTTATAATCATATGTATTCTAAACCCGCTCTTCTCCCCGCCAAAATAAGATCCCTAGTTTTCAATTATGTCAAAGTTTGCAAAGTTTTAACCGAGGGCTTCTATCGTGTCATATTTATTTCCATAATGTTAACTTACAAGGGGTTGTCTAGAAAACGAATACAATTTTGAGGATTTGCAAAGAAATTTTCAGGATTTAAAAGTAAAGAAACAATGCTGCCTTCAATCTTTTAAGGTTTTTCAGCTCGAAACCTTGAAAACTAGACTTATTTTGATGCATATTGCTAATGATAGTTCCAGATTTTTATAAAATTAGATAATTAAGAGGCGTCCTTTATTATGTTGCGTAGTGTCAAAGTTGAAAGTTGAATTCAATTAAACAATTACACTTCAAATTTCAAGTTTCCATAGTCTAGCCACATCGAGAGGGATACAGTGTGTCGATATTTCCATGGTATCCACGTAAAGAGAGTGGCCATGTTTATTTGGAAGCTGAAACTTGATATTTGAATTTATTTCAAATTTTCAATCTGATGCATATGGTGGTAACAGAAGGTTGATTCATTTTATCGCGTCTTCCTTTCCGAGAATAGAGTTTTCGAAATGAGATCACAACTATTAAATTTGCATTGGTAAAGAAATGGTCTTGGCAGAAAACGTCGAGAAGGAAAACGTCGAAAATAAGAAACATCTTAGAAGGAAACGTTTCATTCAATATGAACATATTCGATTTAAGCATATAACTTTTCAGCTAGGTGCTGAGGCATCCAGCGTATACAGTCAGCGAATACAGAAAACTTGGAACTACGATTTGACACTGTAAATGTAAAAGGTTTAAAGAAGATATCAATGCAATGGAAGCCTTGTTCAGGCAATCATCATTGATTGAAAGAAAACCAAAACATCAGATTTTAATCAAATCTCTCTTGTCTTTCTCCATATGAAACGATGGAAGAACAGTGATTTATATTATCATGCAAGAGAAAGAATTTAGTATTTTCGACGTTATCCTTTTTGATATTATCGTTTAGACATTTTTCCACTTGCAATTTTGTCAATTTGATGTTTTCTTGTCGCTATTTTCCTTTTTTGGTATTTCCCATTTTCATTATTGTTTCCACATTTTCCGCCTTCGGCAGTTTTCTTTTCGACGTTTTCCGCCAACCCCAAAGAAATAGCATACAGTTAAGAACCGTAATATTTATTCGTGTTCTTTCTATAGCCCTAGTGCTCTCAAATTCATCTTTCAATGGGATTCTTTCCGCTCGAAGTTCTATATACAGAAAATAATAATAAATCGTGACAGATAATTGGCAATGCATATTTATAAGTTCACCATAATGAAATTCAAAAGACTTTATTGGCTTCTATAGTAAAAAAGTTATTTAGATCTACCT